CTATTCTCTAAACTCAAATACTATATATATATATATATATATATATATATATAAGAAATGACTAGAAAGGAAGTATTAAAGAAACATAATAAAAATTGAAAAAAAATCAAAAGGGGAGCCGCTTGGTTCGATTCGGGCAGTTCGCGCAACCTGCATCTCGTGTCCAGGTTACGGGAGTATTGCATGCGGGATGCGATCCTGCCTTCGCTGTGGATGTCCGACGTCAGTGCATAAGGACACTTGCTTCTTTTTTGGGGTTGGGGTGGCTTCGACCTCATCCATTGAAGCTTCTGTCTCCTTGTAATATGACTCTAGATCGACCACGTTTAAGGTGACGAAAATGTCTTAATTTTTTGATAAGTCAATTTTGTAGGTGTTGCAATTCCAAAGCATATTTTGATAGAATAGACATCCATCTTCTTTTTTGTCACAACTCAAGTTGGAGTTGTATATCGACGTAGATTTCCATAATGTTACTTGAGCCATTTGATTAGTAATTTGCATCTTTCGCTTCTCATACACGACTGGATGCATCTGATGAACAAGTATGTAAGGAGGAATAACTATGAAATTAAATTTATTGCAGACTGAGCAACTCTCACTAGCAACCACTTAGGAGATACCTATTATTCTCTGGTAGTGTAATAACCAATTTTTGAGAAATCGGAGAAAAGTTTTTGCACATAAAATTGTTCCTCAATTTTCTCACCCCTCAGATTGCAATTGAAATAATTTTATAAAATTTTAGACGAAAAGTCTATCAATTCCGTATAAAGCACCACACATGAATAATGAACGGATTGAGGGATATAAAATTTGAAAGTTTTAAGTTTTAATAAATTAAGTAAACTTAATTAATCCAAAATCCTCCCTTAATCCCATAGCTTTAATGTTTCCAACCGACTTTTATGCCTTTTTATTCATAAGTTTCAGTTGAATAGGGTCGCTAAGCTTCGAATTTCCCCTTTTCCCTCGATTTTCTCTCCCAATTCCCTTCCTCTGTACCTAGCGCTTCGTCGTCTGCCATGACCTCCCGCACAGAAGGGCACCCGGGTACTGTAGTCGCGCGAAGTAGTGAACTGAGCGGCTACTCGATCGCTATAGAGCACAATTTAGGGCTTCGAGACGAAATCGGTAAGTGCGAAATTGATTTTAGCAACATTTGAGACATTCCTTTTCTTTCTTGCACTCTTCTTTTGAGTTTTGCCTTGTTTTTCCATGATTTTTTCCTTTCGGTAGTCGTCGGAGGTGTCGTTTATGTGTTAGAAGTGTTGAACGCCTTTTGTGAGCTTTCAAAAGGATTCTAACACGATATCAACTTAAAAGTGTGGTTGGAGGTGATATAAGCTTTAGAAAAGGATTGATCGTCAAGAAAGCTGTTTATGTATGTTTTACCAACTCATTTATATTTTTGGTTAAATTACTTTATCAGTTAAGATATCTTTAGTTTTGAAGTTAATTACAAATTCTATGTTGTTTACCGGGGCAACAGGCTGGAGGCAAGTGCATACATTCACTGTAAAGCGACCCTGTAACTTTCTGGTAAATTAGTTATAAGTTAAGAAGATTAATTGGATTAGTAGAAATTACTTTAGTCTTAAATTTTAATATTACGTTTTATATGTTATTCATCTCAACGTAAAAGTCACCGCAACCTCCAAACTAAATGTCGAAGATTAAGAGTTTAGCGTGACAATTTAGGTGAGTAATTGCATTGCTAAATTTCAGTAATCTTGTTTATTTTATATTGTATATTTGACTTCATGTATGCCATAGTTTAATCAAATCTTCATATTATTAAGTATGAAAGATATGCATGATAGGCATAATAGGAAAAAATCTGAATGCATAAAAGATATGCATGAGATAAATTGTATTTAGATAGACATTATATGTAAAATAGACATTATATGTAAGATAGACGTGTAAGAAAGATATGCATGATATAATTACGCTAATTTGAATTTTATTTAGTATGAACGTTGATACATAACCAATGGAATGCTTAGAGTATAAATATACTTGATGAATACTTGCACAACAAAGTAATTATGCATGTTAGGAGATGAATAATGATATCTCAAAATAATGTATGTATGAATTTTATATGAATGCTTACATGTGCATGTTCAGACGAGGATTTTACCTTCTAATGATACAGGCAGAGGATGCCACTGTACTCGCGCGCGTAGGGTTTTTCTACCACCACAGATAATTATGATGGTTAGATCACTATGTTGATCGCATAATATTGGCCAATGGCAATTAGAATAGAGCTTACCTCCCTATACAATTGTAATATTTACGTTACTAACTGCTGTGCCGACTGGTTAATATCATCCAGGGGCAGGTATGAGCCTTTTTACTTTAGACAATTGTGATGCGTAGATCACTAACCACTGCGTCGACGGGAGCCGACGGGGCAATATCGACCAAGGGTGTGTTGGGCTGTTGACTATGATTCTCACAAAGACAAATGTGTGTAAAGTATGAAGTAAAAGTGAAGTTAAGATAAATGCATATAAAATTGTTCATTTAGAAAAGATCATTGATACATGTATTAACATATATCAGATTGCTTATAAACATATATCAGATTACTTATAAACATATATCAGATTACTTATTAATATATATCAGATTGTTTATAAGAAAATATGAAAGACCAGCATATTATAAGATTTCTTATAACTATACAAAAGACTAGCATTGTTGCTTCAATATTATTTTTAGGTTTTAAACATTTGAACAAGATGAATAGGGGAGAAACAAATATATACAAAAGACGAGAACAACAAGAAATGTATAATTTTTACTTGTTAGTTTTAATTGTTTTTCTTAGTAGCTCTTTCATATATTATTTAGATATTAAATTGTTCGTGATAGAATTAGAATAGTAGTGAATTGATTTCCACCATCCGACCGTTCGATCGTCCGTTCTCGTCTTAGTTAGCTCCAAGCCCTAGGTTTGGTCGTCACAAAATTGGTATCAGAGCCCAGTAAAGGACAATAAGAATGTGATTATAAAAGAGCTATTAGATTAATTATTAATAATTATTAGGATAATTAAAGAGTAATTAAATGTGATGTTAATTATGTTAAATTTTGTTATCTCGGGGCAATTGATTTCGTTATGGAGGGTACGAATGAACATGAAAGAGAGATATGAGGTGATGCTTATCACAATCGGGTGCCTCCAGTACAGAGTGATCCTCCATCCAGCGGTGCAAGCGTTCCTATGGAGGCTTTTACTCAGATGATGGCCGCAGTTACCCGACTTATTCAGGTTTCTCATACTCAGGCTAGTGGTAGTAGGAAAACTTGGATAAATGTCTGAAACTATTCTAGAACGTGTGACCAACATTATTTTCAGAAGCAGGAGGACTAGTTGAGGCAGAAAACTGGTTGTTGTGAGTGGAGAAAATCATTGATGGCTTGTTTTGTCTTCAGGAGAAGATGGTCGCATTAGTTGTTTTTGCTTTCGAAGGGGAAGCAGAGTGGTGCAAGTTCAGCTTCAGGAGAAGTTTAGAGGTAGACCCAGTAACCATATTCAGTGCAAGGACTTTGTAAGGAATTTTCGTGTTTGGTTCGTTCCACTGTCAGCTAGGAGGCAGATGAAGGAGAAATTCATTAGGTTGATGCAAGGAGATCGATTGGTTATGTAGTATGAAGCAGAGTTTACTATGCTATCGAGATATGCACTACAACTCATTCCAAAAACAGAAGAGAGATGCCTTAGATTTCTTTCAGGATTGAAAGATTTAATCAGGCAGCCACTAATGCCACTTAAGATTGAAAACCATTCAGTACTAGTGGAAAGAGCTAGGCTGGCGGAGATTGATTTCCGGCAAACTCAGAAGAGCAGAAACATGCATAAGAGGAAGGGTTCAGAAAAAGTGACACCAACAACCCATTTAGGAGAACAAGAGCCTAGTGGAAAGAAGATTAAGTCCTACACTGGTGGAGTTGTTAGCCAAGCTTGCAATAACATTATACAACCTTGTGTTAAGTGTGGAAAGCACAATCGTGGTCAATGTATACTTGGATCAAAGGCGTGTTACTTGTGCAGACAGCTTGGACATTAAATGAGAAATTGCTCTAATGCTGTGCAGAGATCCACATCAGATGTTCATTTAGGAAGGGATCCAACTCAGAGGAATGTTCATGAAGGATCTATTTCTAGAACTGTTCAA